TTTACATTGAAGCATATATGTGAATAGTATTTAGATAAAGGTAGGGAAGTTTTTATTGCATTTATGGATTTAGAAAAGGCATATGATAGAGTGGATAGGGGAGCAATGTGGCAGATGTTGCAAGTGTATGGAATAGGTGGTAAGTTACTAAATGCTGTAAAGAGTTTTTATGAGGATAGTGAGGCTCAGGTTAGGGTATGTAGAAGAGAGGGAGACTATTTCCCGGTAAAAGTAGGTCTTAGACAGGGATGTGTAATGTCCCCATGGTTGTTTAATATACTGTACTTATAGATGGGGTCGTAAAAGAAGTAAATGCTAGGGTGTTCGGGAGAGGGGTGGGATTAAATTATGGGGAATCAAATACAGAATGGGAATTGACACAGTTACTTTTTGCTGATGATACTGTGCTTATGGGAGATTCTAAAGAAAAATTGCAAAGGTTAGTGGATGAGTTTGGGAGTGTGTGTAAAGGTAGAAAGTTGAAAGTGAACATAGAAAAGAGTAAGGTGATGAGGGTATCAAATGATTTAGATAAAGAAAAATTGGATATCAAATTGGGGAGGAGTAGTATGGAAGAAGTGAATGTTTTCAGATACTTGGGAGTTGACATGTCGGCGGATGGATTTATGAAGGATGAGGTTAATCATAGAATTGATGAAGGAAAAAAGGTGAGTGGTGCGTTGAGGCATATGTGGAGTCGAAAAGCGTTATCTATGGAGGCAAAGAAGGGAATGTATGAAAGTATAGTAGTACCAACACTCTTATATGGGTGTGAAGCTTGGGCTGTGAATGCAGCAGCGAGGAGGCGGTTGGAGGCAGTGGAGATGTCCTGTCTAAGGGCAATGTGTGGTGTAAATATTATGCAGAAAATTCGGAGTGTGGAAGTTAGAAGGTGTGGAGTTAATAAAAGTATTAGTCAGAGGGCTGAAGAGGGGTTGAGGTGGTTTGGTCATTTAGAGAGAATGGATCAAAGTAGTATGACATGGAGAGCATTTAAATCTGTAAGAGAAGGAAGGCAGGGTAGGGGTCGTTCTCGAAAAGGTTGGAAGGAAGGGGTGAGGGAGGTTTTGTGGGCGAGGGGCTTGGACTTCCAGCAAGCGTGCGTGAGCGTGTTCGATACGAGTGAATGGAGACGAATGGTACTTGGGACCTGACGATCTGTTGGAGTGTGAGCAGGGCAATATTTAGTGAAGGGATTCAGGGTAACCGGTTATTTTTATATAGCCGGACTCGAGTCCTGGAAATGGGAAGTACAATGCCTGCACTCTAAAGAAGGGGTTTTGGGATATTAGCAGTTTGGAGGGATATGTTGTGTATCTTTATACGTATATGCATCTAAACTGTTGTGTTCTGAGCACCTCTGCAAAAACAGTGATTATGTGTGAGTGAGGTGAAAGTGTTGAATGATGATGGAAGTATTTTCTTTTTGGGGATTTTCTTTCTTTTTGGGTCACTGCCTCGGTGGGAGAAGGCCGACTTGTTGAGAGAAAAAAAAAATCAAGATTAGTTTAGCTCATGGATTTCCATACAGTACATATTCCTATTCATATCTAATCTTTAATACTTACTAAATTAAAACAGTACAGAAGTGCTCCACTTACACAGCGAGTCAGGTTCCATGCTACCGCCGTAAAGCAAAAATCACCATAAAGCAAATCACCCTTTTTCACTGATAAATGCATATCAATGCCTCATAACATGTTTACACTATCATATATTAAGTTAGCAAAACACCAAGACTAAAGAAGTGTTTATCTATTATTATTATTATAATCAAGGGGAAGCGCTAAACCCGGAGGATTATACAGCGCCTGGGGGGGGGGGATGGGGGATGTGGAAGGCATTCAGGCTTAATTCGGGGAACTAGAGCACAGATCCAATTCCCTAAATCAAGAGCCCCTCACCAACATCAAGGAACCTTCCTTGAGGGGAAGTGTTTATCTAGCCTTCCTCATAGCAAAAATCATACAAATGTTCATCAAAATTTGTTTGTCACTTTCAATGCACAGAATGCTTAGTGTGGACAACCTCTCCAGACATTGTGGCCCCTTAATTCATTTTTAATTCTTGAGGCTTAAAGATAGTATTATCCTGAAACAGTGTGCAATAACATTACTGAAGGGTAGTTTAGAGACTACAGTGTGCTATGAGAGCTTGTGTAAGAAACACCCATGACAATATAAAAAATATTATACACCTTGGCAAGAGGCCTCCTAGATTTCAGCGTGCCAAGCCTCTAGTTAAATCCGGTACTGAATCAACCCATGATCACATTTGTCAAACGCCTTTGCAAAATCTGAGTACATCACATCTACATTTTTGCCATCCAACACTTCCATAATTCTGTCATAGTGGTTCAGCAGTTGACAGAATTGACTGTCTTGCTCTAACAACATGCTGGTTTGGGTTATGCAGATTGTGTTACTCCATGAAATTTGTAATCTGCTGTCATCACTCCTTCGAAGATTTTTACGTGGGAAAAGAGGGCTACTGGTCTGTGTTCTACTGCCTTCCTTATACAAAAGGAGCTGTCTACACTATTTAGGTCACTGGTATTTCACCTATATCTAGACTTTCTCCAAAGAATACTGAGGGTTCTTGTTAGTGGTTCTTTGTATTTTCATTTTCTTTTATAAATAAGGCATTCCACAAATTTATTCCAGGTGTTGAGTTTACCTGGAGTACCTGGAGAGGGTTTTGGGGGTCAACGCCCCCATGGCCAAGTCTGAAACCAGGCCTCATGGTGGATCAGGGTCTGATAAACCAGGCTGTTACTGCTGGCCGCACGCAAGCTGACGTACGAACCACAGCCCGGTTGGTCAGGTACTGACTTAAGGTGCCTCTTCAGTGCCTTCTTGAAGACAGCCAGGGGTCTATTGGTAATCCCCCTTATGTATGTTGGGCAATATTTTAATTTGTTTTTTGAAATTATGGGATTAGTACTAATGTCAGTTAGCTGGTCTGCACAGCCTTCTGCTGGAGTGAAAAATGTTTCTGCATTCTCTACCTTGCTGTCATTTAGTGGATTGCTGAACACCTCACACCATTCCTTTAGAATTTCGCTCATTTCCTGTTCATCATCAGTATACGAGTCTCATGAACCCCGTGACTGTTGCAACCCCAGATCCTGAGGCGTCTCCTGGTGTCCGGGGGATGATGGGGTCTTACGAAATGATAGAGCATCTTTTCCTGATGGTAATGACACCAAGAGAACAAAATTTGATGGAAAACTTATGGAATTACACTCGCAAAGTTAGCGACCTTGGCGATATTTATGAATCGGTGATTTCGCCCACTTTGTGCCCTATTTTCGGCTAATCCCATTGTTCCAGTTGACCAAACTTGTAGCTAAATCTTTAGAACTCCATTTGTTCTATTGATTGAGTACAAGAAACTGCCCATTTACCAATTTCAACCACCCAATAACGTGGTCAGAAATTTGCAATTTGGCCAATTTCACGCAAGTTAAAAAATATGCCAATTTCAAAATAGGGTCCAGAATGAACAATGCAGGCATTCCTGGCTCTAAATAACATTTTCTTTGTTCATCAGTCACATCTCCAGGCCCCTCTGACATTATTCTTGCTTTCTATTTTGAATTTTTATTCAAACAAAAAATAGAAGATTTACTATTATGCATACTACTGCAATATTGTAATAATTGTATAAATAATGTCAACCCATTCATGACTGCATATTAGAATGGCTAATTGGACATTTATTGGACAATGACATCATTTGTTTACTTTTGAACATAGGCAAAAATCAAATGCTTGCCCTACTTTGAGCTCCATTTCAAGGTTCTTTTCATAATAAAACCAATTAAAATCACCTCTATTTCTATAATATGTTTTCCATTCTATCAACCGAGACCAAGAAAATGAGAATACAACCATAACTACTATACGAAAATACACAGCAAAATCGGAGTTTTAATCCAAAAACACGGTTAGTTTTTTTTTTTCTCATTATGCACTGCATGCTGCAGAATTTTTTTTTATGGTGCACACTGACCACACAGACCCATTCTCTCACATGTGGGCCCTACCAGTTTTCTCCTGCTTGATTTGAAGCCGTTAGAATTTTTGAGTATATATACGTCAAACACGGTGGCTCATAAAACGTATATATATGACCGAAACAGTCAAAGGGTTAATGGTCCAATTCTACAGGTAGTTCTTAGCTTGGATTTTGCCTAGGAATAAAAATGTTTTGGGTTGCATGCAATACCCTGGATGGCCTTTTGTTTCCTTTGTGCTTCTTCCATTTGGTATGACATCTTAAGTTGTTGCTCTAAATTGGTGATCTCTTGGCTAAGGCTCTTTCCTTTATTGCAATTTGTGTTTTTAGGCAATTCAGTAACCCATTTTCTTATGTACCATCTCCTATGCTCTCTATATCCAAGCTTTTGGGTTTCCTCAAATGGTACACATTTAATACAGGCCTTGTATGCTTCTGTATTCAGCTTCTCCAGGCACTGGTGAGGATTTTGAGTGCTCATGTCTGTTACCCAGGACATATCTGATAGTTCTAGGTTTATTTTGTCCCAGTCAATTCTAAGGTTATTGAAGTTAAGTTTACTGAACATCTCTTCTATTACATTTGTGCCACAGTTCCCTAACTGGCACATATGCTGCTATGTAGGGTAATTTATGCAACTGTGTGTACATGTACCTGAATAAAATTACTAAGTTTATACTTCTATGATGTTGTGGTCAGAGTACGTATACTGTTTGTAATTGTCTCTGAATATCAAATCCAGGGTATTTTTTTCTACTGGGATCAGTTATCTGTTGGTTCAATGAATACTTTTCACAAAGCCTCGTTTGTTCCCTGGTATGTACCTGTTGAGCCAGGGTGCTTCCAAATATTTCTGGTACAACTTTGTTGAGCCATCTTCAATTTTACACGTGGGAGAGTAAAATCTCCATAAAGCGAGGGATACCGTTACATAGTAAAATCGTTTGATGTGCTTACTATTTTATACCACACACTCTTAC